CTCTAATTCTCGATCTGAAAGTTCCTATAGGTCCAACAAAATTTACTGAACAAGTCCTGAAAGTTTGATCTCAATTGAGCTGTCGGATCTAAGACAATCGCACGATCGGACGACGATCGTTTCACCTAAATTTAGAATCAATGACTCTGAGTATCCGGGACTCCGATTCTCAATCAATGAGTTCCTACACGATTCTAGAGGTGCAATATCCGAACCTATAAAGATTGGATATCGCATAATAGGTGCAATATTTGTTCGACTGTAAAACGATAACAAATCCAAATATGAGCATATTGTCATACTTAGGACGACAAGAGGAACTATTTAGAACACAATGGATTGCTACATAGTGGCCCACGCGCCGCCACGCGCCGCCGACAACAGTGGGTGTCTTGAGAGATTTTCCGTCTCCAAACCACCGGCCAATACCTATGCCAACAGATTCATACTAACTAGATGATTAACTTTTGTTCTTAGACTACGGCCAAAAATTAGTCAAAACCAGCCAAATCGAAGTTGAAATCATGGGCTAAAATGGGTATAATGAATGATCTGTAAAACCTCAAAATATATCCAAGATACGAGGATAGACCGTCAGAGTACGTGGAGGGGATGAAGATTCATACCTAGATCGATGAAATTGGTAGCCGAAATCGCCGGAAAAGGCAACTGAAAGCTCGAAACTCTCGGAACTTTCCAAGCTTGTCACAGAGGCGTGATGGCTTGAGATGGCTAGGCGTCAGCCTAGGCATGGTTGCATGCTTCTCCCGGTTCTTTTCCTACTTGTCCCGTGGCCTGGCGTGGTCGGACGGCGTCTCAACCGTTGTCGGAAAGGACAATGTTGCGGTGGAAAAGAAGAGAGAGAGAGAGAGAGAGAGAGAGAGAGAGAGAGAGAGATGGGTATTTAGAAATCTGACTTTGAAAAAATTACAATTGTGCCACTATACTTCCGCAGACCACAACTCCTTGGTCTTAACTTCGAATTGAACATGCTGCCTGTCGTCAAACTCTATGCAATGGTGCCACTCAATTTCCCAAAATCCTTCCCGAACAAAAAGTGAGTAAAGTGCCCCTACACCTAAAGGCAAAAATGTAATTTCACAATAAATAAACAAATTGAACAGTGATTTTTAGGATAGGATATTATATGGAACCAAATTGGTCCCATACTGGCTCCAACCCTTAATGGAGTGAGTGGGCTTCTGCACAAAGATAAGCCATACTAAAGCAGTTTTCACCATCTGCTTAGAGATCGAAGCACTCAAAGATTAACCAGCTTTAATTGCAAAGAAAAGACTGATATCTGATCCAACAAAAATTAAACAAACAACTCATTAAGTTCAAAATTTTTCCTACCATCTCTCAGCAACCAAAAGAGAAATAAAATGAAGACAAATTGCATCTCATATTGTAACTAAACAAATAATCGAAACAAGAAAAAATTTCATTGGAGTGTCAATCTCATATATCAATTTATATCAAAGCCAAAGCCTAAAAATGGAGAAAAAAAAAAATCCACTAAGGTCTCATAAATATATATATGAGCTTTCCAGTAGATAACTCTTAAGAATACCTTGTTTCTTTGCTCTGCATTCCTTCTTTGTTGGTATGATTTACAATTGATGATCAGTCCCAACTGTGATTTCTTTATTGGATTAATTTCTCATTTCAGTTCTCTGTACTCAGGACCACTCTGTTTGATTTCCTTTCCTTTTGTTGTATTTCAGTCTGATCGGAATGATTTAGCTTTTCCTAGTAAGTAATGTCCATTCGAACACAGTTTTATAAATAACAGAAGTTACCATTTCAATATGATCTCTTTGATATTAGTTTGATTGTTTGTTTGAATTCTCAATCACATAAGTTGAATATTGAAGTCTTTATTAAAACAGATATAGAAAAAAAATAAATTCATGCTAGTTCCCCACTTAGAGCACAATGACTTGTTAAGTTGTTATGAAGTTAAGATTTCTTAAGTAAGGGCGGAACCATGAATTTTTCAATGGGTGGGCTAGCTAAAATTATTAGCTTAAGATATAAAGATCCTTCTCTTTTTTTTTTTGGTTGCACTTAAAGTGTCTGTAGTTGTTTTTTGGGAAATAAAAGTAACAAATCATATAAACCACACTAGTTCATATAGCTTCATTGACTAATTTCTATAAGCTTTAGCATATAACAAATACATATTAAATGCAACCAAATAATACATATTGTCAAAATGAAAATATGACCTTTACAGTTTGAGTCCATTGGTTTATTGGCATAAACTGAATAATTCATGGTGGAAGTAGGAGAAGGCGCAGTCCAGTTTGGTTCGGTTTTCACCACAAATTGGAATTTAAACCGATAATATTTAAAATTTGGTTTGGTTTTATAAAATTTTTTAAAACCAGTCGGTCCGGTTTGAACCGATTTTCAATTTTGAACCGAATAATTACTATTTTTATACAAATTCCAACTAAAATTTATTTTTTGGGCTTGAAAATTAACAAATTATCCAATTTCATACAAAGATAGACATTGGGCCTAGAAAAGAGAGATGTTTAGAAGTTGGGCTCGGATGAGATTAAAAATGTGGCATTGAATTTAAATAATTTTGTAAAAATAATAAAATAATACACAACCGGTCTGGCTTTTTCACTACAAGAACATGAATTGGAACTGGACCAAACTAGTTTGGTTCGGTTTTTGGTAAAGTTGGGTTTATCCAATTTTTTTGGGCCCAATTCAGCTTGGTTTTCTGGTTTGAATGCCCACTTGTAGGTGGAAGACCTCTAAGGCCAAAATTATGAATTTGTAACTAGCCCGCCTATTGAAAAATTCATGGTGGAAGACCTTTAAGGCCATCTTTAGTCATAGGATGGCCAGGGCTATAATTTTAGCCATCCAAAATATTAATTTTTTAAAGAAAAGTGTAGGACTAAATTTTTCCATCTCAACCCATGCATTGCTATATTTTAGGGGCCTCAATATTTTATTATTTTAAGAAAAACTATGGTACAATACTCATACATTCCACAACTATGTATTGTTTAATTTAATTAAACTACTATTTAGAGACAGTATTCTAGATATGACACGTCTACGTTGATAAGAGAATAAATTTGTAGGAAATGTTTGAATGAAATGAGTGTGGAAATATTTGACACAAAAAGAAAGAAGTGTGGAAAGTTGTGAATAAGTAGAGAATGTGATAGAATTTGTAAGAAATGTGGAATGAAATGAGTGTGGAAATAGTTGAAGAAACTTTGAGGTAATTTTATAATTAAATAAAAAAAGAATTTAAATACATTTAAAAAGTTAAAATGAAAAAGTCTAAGCTAACATCAGCACACTCAGCCTTTGGATATGTAATTGCACGAGATGTTCCGTGCTCATGCCATGTGTGATTCTCTTCTTGGACAGCACATGCGCTGGGCTCACAAAAAAATTGGCATGGGCTGTAGCTAGCTACAAGTGGCATGGGAGGAGAGCTAAAAGGCTAAATGTGGCCTTCCAAATTTGGCCAAATTTTTTTTAGCCCATTGAAATGAGTTTTACATGTTTTAAGACTACATTTGGCCTATGGTTCATAACTTGAGATGACCTACAATGTATGAAATTGTATAACTTTATGCATTTTTAAGTTAATATTGGGCTATATAGGTATAATATATTTTTTTCCCTTAGAAAATCTCCATGAGCTACAGCCTACTTTGGAGCCCATTTTGGGGCCCAATTGAACAAATACCTTGGTGCTAAAATGCACTACAACGCTTTTTTTTGGGTGAAGGCACTACAACGTTTTTTGAGGTGAACACTTCCATGCCTTTGTGTGTAAATTTGTGAACACCTCTACACAGTTATTCTCAAAGAAAAACAAAAGCAAACACAAATTCTTCAGCTTCATGCCCGTCCATGGCTTTCTGGATCCTTCCATCAAAATGCCAGTCAACGATTACTCTTTAGCCATAAATTGTTCAATAATGAGTAGTTTAAATTAGGTCAAGTCTAATGAACTGAATTTTACCGGTGAACTAATGAAAAGGTTGTCGCGCAATTCATGTACTTAGATTTTATGGAAGTAATTGTTGACATAAATTGTATTGAGGTGCCATAATTGAAAAGAGATGTCTTAATCTAAAGCTCCATTTGATTCGCAGATTGAACTTCCTGTACAATTTTGCCTTAACTGCGCGAAAGAATTGATGCTATCAAAAAGGTCCACGTGCATTTAATGTTGAAATGAGAAACAGCTGTAATGCTTCGTGTACTTTGCTTACCAAAGAAGACACTAGATGGACTTTGTTGCTAGGTAGCTAGCTTTATTATTATTAGAAAAGACGGTCCAATGCAATGACATTATTATTAGAATTTTTAAAGGTAGGCCGTTAATATTTATATTAGACTATAATAATAATAATAATAGTGTGATTTAACTTTGGGTGGTACTGGTAGATGAGATTATGATTATATTATAAGCAGTTGAGTTGTTAATTATCATATACTAATGTTTAATTTGTTAGTATAGCATAAGTAGGTGGCTCACTGGAATCAATATTGTTTAGTTTGTTTGGTATGTGATGTGATGATGCAATGCAAGAGCAGAAGCAACTGGTCTGGGGCTCTGGGGCTCTGGGGCTCTGGGGCTCTTGGGGTCTGGCGGGGGAGGGGGACGGTGGAGTTGGCAGAACCAGAACACCTACTCCTCTTCAGCGCCAGTGTCCTAATCATAACTGTTTTTGTTTTACCAGCACTCTCTCCTCTTCCGCCACCTAATTAGCAATCATAACTGTGTCTTTGTGTCTTGAAAAACTCGTGTGAACATGACATGTGGGGATTGACTGGAGCAAAACAAGTGATATCTTTCTCCAGTGTGTCGGTAATTCTTTTTCTTTTATATTTATTTATAAATAATAATTAGTTATATAATCATATCTCTAAAGAGATAGTAAATAAATAAATAAATAATCGTTGCTGCTCATGATTCGTTATTATTATTATTCGTATGTCACCAAGAAAAGGAATCATGATGATATTCAATGTTCATCATTATTGTTGTTTTGTGTTGCCCTGTTCAACCCGTCTCCGTGGGTTGTCGTCCCGGCCGGTCCCACAATCTCATTCATTCTTTACTAATTTAATGCTCTTCCCTTCCCTTCCCTTCCCTTCCCTTATGCTCATAGATCCCACTCCCCGCCATATCTTCTGGTGTGGTGGATCATCTAATTTTTTATTTTTTATTTAGTCCGTGGAGTGGAAGGTTTTGTTGTCTACTTGTTTATTTTTAGGCTACTCAATCTCGTGCAATGTCGGCTTGTTGACTACTTGTTCGTTTCTTCTTCATCTTCGTCTTCTTCATTTTCATTTTTTTTTTCTATAAGATACAAAGAAAAAGAAATGATGATGATATACGCAAGAGCTCAAGTTTAATTATATATATATATTTCTGGAAATACAGGTCCTTTCTTACTTGGGTTTCAAGTGTCCAGCACCACTTCACCAGGAGACCAGGTAATTTTATTAATTGACTAATGCTGCTCCACTTTCCAATTCATTGTCCAATTTGTAATCTCATTCTCCAATTTTGCCCTCTCTTTCTTCTAAATTTGTTGCCTTTTTTATGCTAACTAGTCTCTCTCTCCCTCTCTCAGATTCTTAATCAGAAAGACTTGTTTCTTTTCATACTCTGTAACAGACGGAGACAGAAGATGCTGGCTGTGAATTGCAGCTCTTCCTCTTCCACTTGTCCTCCTCCTCCTCCATTGGGCTCCCATTTAAGGTAAAACAAAATTGCAGGATTTTAAAGGTTTGATTGAGTCTTTTCTGTTCTGGAATTAATTAATTAATGTTGGTTTGGTTTGGTGAAATTGCAGCGGACCTGACAATGGGGTTCTAGTTAACATGTCACCTACACTTTTCTCCTACTTCAACCCTGTAAGTATAGCTATTTCCCTTGCAGTTTAGGTGATTCATCTGATGCTTGTGATTCTTTCTATTAACATTGTTTAATCATAAGTTTGCTTCAATTTGGGAGAAGGGGTTCCAACTCAGTTCCTCTCCTTCTCAATTTAGTTTGGTTTGAGAAATTTGGATTTTAAGACATAGGTTCATTTCATGGATTCTAGTCAAAGCACTAGCTAGAGCACTTACGTACAAGATAAAAGCTCCCAAACTGGAGAAAATAGTAAATTGCGACACGAGTCCAAGATTTCATGCTTTATATTATTTATTGAATTCAATTGATTCAGCACACCATGTTTAGGATATGAAGGGCTTGAAAATGGGCTATATCACTAAAGAATGACCATAACCAAAAATAAACGGGGAAAAGAAAGAGTAGGCATTCATGGTTGATCTTGGCCTCTAGAGCAATACTGAGACATTCTTTATATCTTTTGACACAGATTGTACAGTTGGATAGGACTTTACCTAACAAGGATTCCCTTTGTTGTGACTCCGAGGAGGCACAGGGTTGTACTATCATCAACTCTTTTGCTTCAACACCAAAGGTTGGTTTGTTTGTTTGTTTGTTTGTTTTTTTTTGTACACGTCTCTGTTGGCTGTAGTGAATTTCAGCAGAGCAATTTACTTTCTCTCTGCAGTGATTTTTTACTCCAACTACCATTCCCAAGTCATTCCTGACACCTTTTAGTTTTCCTTTTGTTTCAAATATAATGCATTCATATTCTAACAAATGTTGTTATTGTGCTTTAATTTTTACATTCGGCATTAGTTTGTTTGTTTTGATTTGTATTTGGGCGTTTCGGCTCTGAAACAGTCTTCCATGGAGCTGAAGGAGGAGATAGCCACGCTTGAGCTTGAAATTATGCATTTAGAACGTCATCTGCTTTCACTATATAGAACAGCTTTTCAAGGATGTGCCTTGCCGAGTACCCCAGAAAGCCATTTACAATTTAAGACGGGACACTCCAAATTGGAGCTGCAAGTGCACAGAGGTGGAGTGGTCCATCATGATCAAACTTCCCCTGCACATCGCCGGGTCAGCTCAGATAATCGGAATAGTGCCACTAGCATAAAAGCCTCATCTATCTGGGTAAATTGCCTGCTAATCTAGATTAGATTTAGATATTAATTTGTTCATACACATTTAAAATTACTTTTTTGAGGGGCTAAAGGGGAGTTTACTTTATTGTGCCTATTTATTTTCTCCCTAGCTATCATTTGTTTATAATTAAAATTTATGCATTTGCAGGACCGGAAAATTAATTCTCGTCATCGCAGCCTAGCTGATCATCTTGGTGAGACTCACAATGATAGTACCCTTAATACTCCGGATAGACTTTCTGAAGATATTGTAAGATGCATCTCTTCTATATACTGCAAACTTGCCAATCCCCAAACCCACACATGCCTCTCAGCGTCGCCTGCTTCCTCCTTGTCCTCCTCAAGTATATTTTCTTCTAAGAATCCTTGTGATAGTTGGAGTCCACATTGCAATGAGGATGCTACAATGCATCATCAAGGGTTGAAAGAAAACAGTGGACCCTATGCCACAATGATAGAAGTTTTGAAGATATGTTTAGACGATGACAGCTTCAATTATGCTGCTATGATGCTGCAAAATTTCAGGTTGCGCACATGTACCTCAATATGAATTTTTTTTTTTTTTTCCTTATGATAAATCTAGGTTGGTATAACCTCAAAATTTTTTGTTGGTTTGATCATTAGAAAATAAGAAAAAAGAAAAGGGGAAAAATATAATTTGTGGTTGTGATTTCAAAACTTTTTATATTTGTGATTCTTTCAAATGTGACATGCTTCAATGCTCTATAGGTCATTGGTGAGAAGTCTAGAGAAGGTTGATGTCCTAAAGATGAAGCGTGAGGAGAAGCTTGTGTTCTGGATTAACATTCACAATGCCTTGGTGATGCATGTATGGCTCCAGATGTTCAAACTATAAACCTTTTTTTTTTTCTTTCCATTATATCTTTCTCTGTACAATAAAACTTTAGTTCATAACTTCATATTGAAAACTTTTACTCTGAAGTTGACTTGTTCTATAGGCATATGATTATCAAAAAAGGGGATATTCTAGTAACACAATAATTACTTTTCTAAGAGATAGGTTTATGTGAAATGTCAAGAAAGTCATGGTATTTGCTTAACTATTCAAAGAATATTACATAATGATAAAAACTGTACGAATATATTCTTCATAGGTGTAAATGCACGTCTGGTGAGGCTTATGACATTTCTTTGCAGGCATACCTGGCATATGGAACTCACAGCCGTGTGAAAAGTACTTCAATTTTAAAGGTAAAAGTCCCATCCTATAGTATACTGTGATTAAAATGATATATGGGACTCACCAGTAAACACACTTGTGTCCTTTAAATCCCATTTTCAGGCAGCATACAATATAGGTGGACATTGCATAAATGCGTATGTCATACAGAGCTCCATATTAGGAATTCGAGCACACCACTCGGCACGGGTATGCACTGTTTTCTGAAACCCTACTTACCTCATATGGTCTGCGTGCTTTATGAATCTCAACACATCCTGTAAGCCAATCTTGAGATTTTATGACTGCTAGTTGAGTAGTATTGAACAAGTTTTGGTGATTCTATGCTCTTGAAAAAATTAGGCCTCTGAGCTAGAATTAGTCTGCAACACCATTGTGAACAAAGGGCCAAGAAACTCTAAAATTACCTGCCTATTAATATCCTTACTGAGTGTTTGAGCATCCTCATTTTGGAGGTGCTTTTTGTTATCCTTATGGATAACTGAATAGCATGCCATTATCCTCAAGGAGCTTTCAATTATTATATGTCGAGTAACCATCATTTAAAGCTAATTGGATGCCTATCCAGCATTTCACAATTTCATTGGCCATGCTGGGAACAATTTCACTTTATAATGCATTTCTTCATACTATGTAAATGCAGTGGCTACAAACGTTGTTCCATTCAGGAAGGAAGTTGAAGACCGGGAGCATTAGACATGCATACGCGTTAGAATACCCTGAGCCACTAGTCCATTTTGCTCTATGTTCAGGGGCGTACTCTGACCCGGCGGTATCAGTTTTCTCATGTTGAAACTATTTTTCAGTGACATTTGTATTTAAATCTATGCCTAGAAATAGTTGTGGCCTTTTCTATGCATCTGTTTCTAGCTTTGTCTGAAGTTGTGCCGCTTTACTGGATGCAGGTTCGAGCGTACAGAGCGAAGAGCATATTTCAGGACCTGAAACTTGCTAAAAAAGAATTCATTCAAGCTAATGTCTATATGTACAAGGAGACAAAGCTTTTCCTCCCAAAAATTCTTTACTACTTTGCAAAAGACATGTCACTGGGTATGCTAGGGCTCTTGGAGGAAATAAATGATTGTCTCTCAGACATTCAAAAGAACGCTATCAGAAGCTGCGTGGCAGGAAAGCTTGACAAGTACATACAATGGCTACCTCAAAGTTCAACCTTTCGGTATGTAATCCATGAGGAATTAGCCAACGTAAAATTAACTTTCTAATTCTTCAGTGTGGTTAGAGAGGAGCAAGGAAGTGTTTGTTTCTGATAGGAGCCACAAATAAAGGGCAAATGTTAATCTGTACAGAGTTGGATTGAGGAAATTAAGTACAGAATATTCTTCACCATCCACTTAAATTGAATCACGTTGTTCTAAATAAAGTTTTCTAAGAATGCCTTGTGGTTTTGGATATCCTTTTGGATTTTGGGCAGAATCATGCAGCAAAAACCAATAACCAACTATTTCCAAGGACCGAAAGAACCTCTCCATCCTTCCAGAGATTGTTGTGGACTGGAGAGGAGAGGGTTGTGGTTGCTGCTGTTGAATGGCATTCGCTGGTGAATCATGGTTGAAAATAGTTTTTCAGACTCGTCTATGGACAATGATTCTTACAAAGTAAACTTATAAAAGTGTTGATAAAGTTAAAGCAAAGGGCTTGTAGCTCAAGTAGTTAAAAGCATTTACTTATTTACCCGAGGTCCTAGGTTTGATTCTCTGTCCTCAATATCATTTGTATTAAAAAAGAAAAAAAAAAGGGTGATGCTATGGAGACGACATTATTAGACAACCTTGTAAACCAAACTCTCTAATAAAGGTGAAACATATCAATACAATGCGTCTCACCTCTGTTATAAATGCGGTATCCCTAGAATTTTCCAAAAAGCAAAAAAGTTATACGATTATAAATGTTGGAGTTAGCCAGCCTGTGTAATACTAATATCCAATATATGGTTGCAGCATTCTTCTCTGTGCACTCCGTTGAATCGGCCGACTCTTTGAATCCAAATTTGTAGCACAACGGCCCCCCTCCGTCAGTTACGTTTACCCTGACCCTGAGTGTGTCTAGTCTAACATAACATCTCATGTATAATAAATAATATATATATATATATAATTAAACTTGCTAATTAAGATTATTTACACAAAACAAGAGCATCAAAAGAAAGAGTACGCTTGCTTCTTCATTAGCAATGGTAATTTCGTCTGTTCATTTCTGTTTACGGGATCTCAAACATTTTCATTGCTACGCTACGCATGATTTCTTTAACCAATTAATCCGTCTATAATATTATTATTTTCTCAAAAGCATTTGCTTTAATCCATATGGATAAGTAGTTTAACAGCTTCGATCCGCTTTTTGAATTGTTCCAGATTCATTTTGTCATTCTTGTTAGTCGACAAGGAAAAGTGAGGCTGACCAAATGGTTTTCACCCTATTCCCAGAAGGAACGATCTAAGGTACCAGTCACTTTACTTCCAACGATGTCTCCTTATGAAATTAGATACACTTTTTCTTAGTTTGCAAGTGGGCAATTCTTATCTCGGCGTTTTCAGCTAACTAGAAATACTTCTGGATGGGAAATGACGTAGAATTGGATGGGAAATGATTGTCTAAACCACGGCGGTCGCCTAGACGTCGGTTTTAGAACTTAAACCACGACGCGGCCGGAAAAACAAAATGTTAAAAGCACTTGTAGGTGGTAAAATTGGCTATAAGATTCTTAAACAGGTCATTGTATCGTCAATCCTACATGTTGTGTGACGGTGTTGGCATAGATTTTGTATTTATCTTGGTGTGGAAATGTTGTTGCTTATATATAATGCATTGCTTATGCAAACATGCAAACTCTGTGAGAAAAAGGTAATGCGGGAACTGAGTGGCATAATACTCAATCGGGCCCCCAAGTTGTGCAACTTTGTGGAGTGGAGGGGGTTTAAAGTTGTTTATAAAAGGTACAAGATTACTGTTTTTCCCAGCTACTCACACATTTAATTAGTCCTTAATTAATTTACAAATCAAAGCTGCACATTGTAATATTGTTCTTGAAGATTCATAATTGTTTTGTTTTTTTCCTGCGGATTATCATGCTCAGATATGCCAGCCTCTATTTCTGCATGTGTGTTGACCAGAACGATAACGAACTGGAGACCCTTGAAATAATTCACCATTATGTTGAGATACTGGATCGCTATTTCGGCAGCGTGAGCTTTATTAACTTTGCTCTTGCAACAAATAAAAGATTTTTTTATTATTAGTGATCTTGGGATGAATTCAATTGATTTAACTATGCCATGCTTAATTCTTCTTGCTAAATAGGTTTGTGAGCTAGACTTGATTTTTAACTTTCATAAGGTATTCCTTTTATCCTTCTTTATATCCCCTTTCATTGGCTTATGTATTTTCCAACTTTAATGGAGGTTGGTATATTTGCAGGCTTACTATATATTGGATGAGCTTCTGCTTGCTGGCGAGCTTCAAGAGTCTAGCAAGAGAACAGTTGGGCGGATGATAGCTACGCATGTATATACTATAACATTCCAATTTTCTCATATTACTGTGGATGTTTGGACGTTATTACCGTACAGATGTCATTGTAAACATAAAGGAAAATAGGGAGAAATAATAAAAAATACATGGTGTCTGCACAATAATAACGTCCAGACATTCGTAATATGTGTGTGTGTTTGTATTTTGATGACTCGGGTTTCATATATAACAACAGGATCGATTTGTGGAGGTTGCTAAAGAGGAGGCGAGTTCAATAGGCACTTTGATCGCACAAGTCCGCATGTAGGAGAGGAGATTGATTCATATGAAATGCACAAATATTGCTATGAGTTTTACATTAATTGATTAGAAATTCGGAACTGCATGCCCCAACCTTCCTTTGGCAATTACCGTTTGACAGATCCAAATGTTGCTTTTATATTATAGCTCCAACGCAGGAGACACAGTATTTAACCCTACACCCCCCTTTGGCCTCCTTTATACTTACTACACATGCTGCTTTATATTCTCTTCTACACTTGATTACTGTATAGTGACGAGAATAAAGGGGCACAACTTTGCATCATATCTTTAATTAAACATTTTTTTTCACCTCTTCACATATGTACATAGAATAATTTTTATGATTTTTTTTATATAAATAAGTTCATTTTAGCATGACATATTATACAAAAACTCATATAGAACCAATTAGAAAATGACAAGTGGTTACTTTTGGGTTTTGCTCTCTAAATAGGCTCCATAAGAATTTTTATATAATATATCATGTTAGAATGAGCTTATTTATGCAAAGCCCAAAATTTTAAGTTAGAATGATGTAAACATCATCATTCCCAGGGCTTCCATTATTCACAGTAAGGATGTTCTCATTTTTCTTACATCTAAATGTCCTCTTATAACATAATTATATATATAGAGTGCTTCAACAACCGTCTATTTTTTAGGTATTATCATTTCTCCAAAAAATCACTTCACTGAAAATTTATTTGACCAATCAATTATGTGCGTCACTGATACTAAATTAATAAAATGGTGACATGTGGTTAACTATTTCGTTTAGTAGAGAAATTATAAAAAGCAATAATGTTAAATTTAACAAATAGTCGCCACCGCACAGTATATCCCACCACCGCCTACATTACCGTTGTTGCGCCATCTGCCACACCACCGTGGTGCCCATCTCTCGACTATCTTAGCTTTCCACATTAATTAGAGGCCCAAGGCCATGAGAGCGGATCTTCAAGAGTTGAAATCTAAAAACAAGATAAACTCCTCCCACTTGAGAACTCTTGAAAAATTTATTTTTGCGTGTAACATTTAATCTCAAAATTCAATACTATATCATCCATAAATCAACCAAAATACCTGCAGTTTCAAATTTTCTTATCGGATGGAGCACCCGAATATTCAAAAAGTAAGGATCTTGGCAGGCATATTGATGTAGAACAGCTAACATAGGCAATCGAGGAAGAACTGTGCAGTGACGTGTAAGCAAGGGCAAATCAAGTACGTTAATGCTTAGTTTTCGCACCACCAATCAAAGTGCATGTAAACCTTTTAGTTAGCCCTTCCTCGAGGGCGTTCTTCTAGGCTTTGAAGAGCACACTTCCGTGGATCTTCTTTTCCTTGCACTTGGCACAGCGCGGTGCTACGGTCAGTGACTCTAATCCCCTGAAAAGGAAGACAAGCAGGGGTCATTGAAGAGGTGGTAATGGCTCCACCAACCACCCTCCAATGCCTAAGTCAGATTCTAAAGTACTGTACTCAAGTTTGGAGGGATTTCAACTTACCTATTTAGGTGAAAAGTACTCTTTTCCATATTAGGAGTGAAGGACCTCTTTTCCATCCTTTTCCAATATGGGAGTATTAGGCTTCTGATGATGTGGCATCTTCTGATTGGATGGCCGATGGGATCTCAGTGAGTATTTATGTCATCTTTGGATCATTGCGCGCTTTGGAGAGACACTCGGCGGGCCTTGCTCTTGACATTTAGGGTTGTTATCTCTATTTTCAAATTAAAAAACTTGGAGGTTTTCTCAATTCTAATGGATACCAAGCTTGACCCAAATGGTACACACTCTTATTGGGAGCACATTCAGTTGCATGTTTCAATTAGGTTAATGAGTTCTTTTTAATGTATACTACTTAAATCTTATTAACCACACATTTTGACATTTCTTCCGCAAGTGGAAAGTCCTGATAAGTGACTTTCATTTAATGTTTCTTACAAGATTATTTCTAAGATTTACCATAACAAATTAATCAAGGAGATTTATTGTGAATTATTGTGGATCAGAAGACTCTTGACAGAATTAGGCTTCAAACTAGAAAAGCCAATGGAGTTGCATTGTGACAATTAATCAACTATCGATATTGCTCATAATCCAATTCAACATGATCGAACCAAATATGTGGAGGTGGATAGACATTTCATCAAAGAAAAAATTGAGAAAAAGATCATCTGCCTACCATTCGTAAAATCAGAAGATCAACTGGCAAATCTTAACAAAAGCTTTTTGTGGAAGAGCATTTTATGACTCACTTACCAAATTAGGTATTGGTGATGTATATGCACCAACTTGAGGAGGAGTGTTGACGTAAGTCTCCTAATTAATCAAGAAGACTTATTTCCTTGATTAATTAAGGGATTGACTTTCCTATTTTATATAATTGAAAAAACATTGTATTATTAGGAGATACTATCCTAATTGATTACTGTATCTATTTCCTTGTAAAGTACTCATGTAAACTCCTATATATACTTCCTTATGGAGAAGAATACAACTTAACCTAAAGTATTCAAACCATATTCATATTTTAGCATCCAATTTGATAAGATCACCAATTTATATTTTCTCAACACTTCCCATATGGCTGAAATAGATTCGTCAAGGGCGACCAGTGGAGCTACTACTAATTGAATAATTCCTTTGTTTCTCAATAAACATGATTGGGTTTTAGCCAGTGCTTTAACCGTAGCCCTAAAACCTAAACATCCTTAAGTCCAAACACCAAACACGACAAGATGGTAGTGAAAGCAACAAAAACAACAACATAGATTAATTTTGATTTTGGCTTAACAATTTAAACAAAACTTCATCACAAATACATGTACAAAATTCATCATAAAGCAGCAATTAAAACCCTATTAATTATAATGAATGTGAATGATGAAATTGAGAAAAAATAACTGGAAGTACCTCATTCTTGTGACTTTGCTTCAATTGATCCAAAAAGGGAAAAACAGAAGAAGTTCAAATAGAAGATAAGAGCAATGGGAAGAGAGGGCGTGAACTTGAAGAGCAAGACTAAAGCATGACCGAGCATAATGAGATAGCATGAAATTAAATGAGGGTATTTTTGGAAGTATGAAAGTTTCATTAAACACGCAGTGCCTCCTCAATCTGATTTCCGCAAAATCAGAAAATGAAAGTAGGTCCACTCCTCAATTTGATTTCTCTCACAGCAATTTTTAACAAGTAAGTTTCACGTAGTTTACCAAACAGACTAGGCTTTCCAAATTTTTAAAAAAAATCACTTATCACCTCAAATAATCAAGGGACATTTTGGAAAATGCCAAAGGAGAGAGAAATATTTTTAAAAGAAGCCAAAATAGACAAAAATGCCCTTATTTATTTATGGATTTCCTAAGGAATCATTTACATTTGCAGGTCTTTGGTTTGAAAGTTGAGGGGTTTTTCTGTCTTTTTTGAAAAAGTTTTGGCTTTTTCCAAAAGTGAAAATTTTTGTGTGGCTAAAACCTAAATTTACTAATAATGAATGCCAAATGGGCATTTAGTTTGACATTGCAGTGCTATGAAAATAATTGCTGTCAGAGAAATCAGTTGTGAGATAAAGCAGTTTGGTGTTTAGTAAAATTTTTGCTAAAAGTGTTGTTGGTACTGATTCCTACATAATCAAAAAATGATACACGCATAATCATTAAACCCAACTCATCTTCGAAACTGATTTCCGCATAATCAGAAATTGAAAGCACTTCATTAGCTGCTTTCCCTCATAGCTTTTTCTCACATCAATTTTTAATAATAAGTGATTTTCTTATAAGTTACCAAACAGGTTGGGCTTTTCAAATTTTTTAAAAAATCACTTATCACCCTAAATAAGCAATGCCAAACAAGCACTAAATATCTAGTGAAAGAATAATGCTTTAATTGAGGATTAGATTTACGGATGGGCTAACACTGTAACTGTTGTCAGCATGGTTATTTTCACTATTTTTAAAAGGTAGGAACGAATATCTTAGGGCGTAAAGCCTAATTGACAAAGAAAACAAGGAAATAAGTAGTTAACCGAGAATCAGTTGTGTGCAGGCAAGAAGGTAGGAAAAGCCTGGAAGTGAAGCATCATATAGACTGGAGCGCTCGAGTCTGTATTTTCTCCCTATAGCTCGAAAATTGAAATTGATTTTCAAGTAAGCGGAGTCTAGGGTTTTGTACTTGGGTTTGGTCATTGAAGAAATTCGAAGACATTCCTAAATGCAATGCAAGAAACGGTCTCTTTCTTTACTATCCTCTCTCTCCTCTGCCTGTCTCTGGGTTGTGGCTCTACTGGAAATTTCAAATTTATTTACTAAAATGGAAAGTTGACTGAAATAGGGTTTTTCCAGGAACAAGAAAAGGAATGTGAGCTGCGACGCTTGGAGGGGTGTATAGAGGCCCATCCAGATGATCCCTCCCTTCGCTTCGAACTCGTGAGTAATCATCACTTAAACTTAATAATTACTTTTTCATTTTTTATATAGGAGAATTTGGATGATGATTTGCCTTTTGTTCTAGTTTGTTTGTTCATCTTCCAATCTTAATCAATAAGTCAGTAAAATAAGTCAGTAAATATTGATGAATAAATGTTAGGGAGTGTTGTTGTGGGAGGAGTGGGATGCCAAGGAAAAAGCGGCAGAACAATTCGTAGTAGCAGCGAAATTGAAGCCTGAGATTGAGAAGGGAGGGGCATTCAGATATCTAGGGATTTATTACGCAGGTCTAGACTCCCAGTCCCACAGCCAGAGAGCTCTTAAGTGCTTCCAGAAAGCCGTCTCTCTTAATCCTGATGACTCCCTCTCTGGGGAAGCCTTGTGTGATTTGTTGGACCAGCAAGGAAAGGAGAGCTTGGAGGTGGCTGTGTGCCGGGAGGCTTCCCAAAAATCCCCCAGGGCCTTTTGGGCTTTCCAAAGACTCGGTTACTTGCTACTCCATCAAAATAAATGCTCTGAAGCTGTCCACGGTCTTCAACATGCCATCCGAGGCTATCCTACCTCTCCACATCTCTGGGAGGTATCCCTATCAATGCACATTTGTTTTTTTTTACGCTAATTATCTTTCTTTCTGTTCTGCTTACTGGTGTACCTATCTCACTCTTCCTCAATTATTGTTTTAGGCTCTTGGCCTTGCCTACCAGCGACTAGGCAGGTTCACTGCTGCTCTCAAGGTTCCTTTCCCTTTATCTTTCTCTTTTCTTTCTCTTCTTTTCCATTATTAAAGCAACCTTTGATTTTTTTTTCTTTGCCAAAGCATGATATTATCTGCTGTCTTCTGAATTTCAAATTGATACTTCTCCAGTTATATTCCTCTTTTAAATATAATTTTTATCATTGATATTACGCCATTCTAACAGTCTTATGGAAGAGCCATTGAATTGGAGGGTACAAGAATCTTTGCTTTGCTTGAAAGCGGAAACATCTTTTTGATGCTTGGTTCCTTTCGACAGGTCAGCTTTCGTTTTGTTCATGGTGATTCTCCAACCAGCATTGTTTTATTTGTTTGTAATTGTCATCAACCACAATGTTGTAGCATTTATCTTGTATTTACATTTGTTCTTTTAATATAGGTATAGTTGATTTTTCAGCACTTACATGTTTTTTTAATTTTCTTTTGTACTTTTGAGTTGTGGTTCCTCTTTTTAGTCTACTTCTCCTCTCAGAATTTTTGTACTAAAATGGGTTCAATTTTGTAATAGAGTTGGTGAGGAGCAATTAGTTGGACTTGCAGGTGTAGTTATGCTGATTGTTAGAACAGATTGTTTGCAGCATATAAGATTATACTGGAGTTTTCCCATAATATTTGAAGTGCTGTGTTATGAAATAGATCTCATGTGGCGGTGTTTCTATGTGAAGGGAGTTGAGGCATTTCAGCAAGCATTAGAGATTTCTCCCAAAAGTGTCTCTGCGCACTATGGGCTTGCTTCTGGGCTGCTGTGTTTGGCAAAGGAATGCAATAATTTGGGAGCATATAGATGGGGTGCTACAGTGCTAGAGGTAAATTGTCTTCGAGTGTTTAAAGATTTACAATTCAAGTTGTTGAAACGTTAAAAGATGAACAGTTTGATTTGATTTCAGGAGGCATCTAAAGTTGCCTGGATGTGTACTCAATTAGCTGGAAATATGTCATCTATTTGGAAGCTGCATGGTGATATACAAGTATGATCCTTTAACGATTCAGCTATGTTATGCTCATTTCTGTCCCTCAAAGAGATACTCATAGCAGAGTTATTCTTCAATCTTTCATGTTATTTTAGATTCTACTTAACTTTTTCTTGCATATGAATCTTCTTGTTATTAATTCATTGTATGTCAACCGTTCTATTTAAAACACAATAAATTTGACAGGAACCCAAAACTAATCTGAGATATGCTTTATCTCTGTGATAGCTTACTTATGCAAAATGTTATCCATGGATGGAGGAGGACCACAGTTTAGAGTTTGATGTGGAAGCCTTTGATAATTCCATCCTTTCATGGAAGCATACCTGCTGTTTGACTGCGAAAACTGCCAAGTGCTCTTATCAGCGAGCTTTGCACTTATCCCCATGGCAAGCTAATATATATGCTGACATAGCAGTAACTTCAGATCTCGTAGACTCTTTTGATAACAGTACTGGACATGAATTAAGTGCTTGGTATGATCTGATATACTCGTTTAATCATATTATTTAGCCGTGTATTTTTCTCTTAATTTAATGCCTTTTTTTTTTTTTACCAGGCAGCCATCCGAGAAGATGGCTTTGGGAGCCCTGTTACTCGAGGGTGACAATTCTGAGTTTTGGGTAGCATTGGGATGTTTGTCTGATCATAATGCATTGAAACAACATGCTCTAATCAGGGGATTGCATTTGAATGTATCTCTAGCTGTTGCGTGGGCATACTTAGGGAAGGTACCATCCAATTACATAGATTTTTTTTCCTTTTCCTTTTAGTGTTTTCGTGGTCTTTCTGCGTGGGTTTTCTTTTACATGAATTTCAATTTTAATGGGAAATAAGGAAACATAAAAATTACTGAAAGTTTGTCTGTCATATTCACTGGAGAAATTTGGATTTTGTAGCGTGGTTGATTTTTTTATGTGTTTGCTAACATTTGCCGAGTTGGGTTTGAATATAGATTGGTTGAGCCTTGCCTTAGAGGGATTTGGCTATTGCTTGAATTACTAACTATTGCTTACCTATTTAATTGTGTCTATGAACATTTGCATGCCACTGGGTTGATCCATTATATAATTTAAACATCCAGAAGGCATTACTGATGTTTATTGGAAAAATTTAGCTTGCAAAATTTTCTTGTGTTGGCTGAGTTTTTGTTCTTCCTACAGCTGTACAGAAAACAAGGTGAGAAGCAATTTGCAAGGCAAGCATTTGATTGTGCTAGGAGTATAGATCCTTCACTCGCGTTACCATGGGCTGGCATGTCAGCTGATTTTCATGCAAGGTAAAACTTTTACTTATTTTGGATTTGTTTTTCAGTTCAGCTGATTTAATTTTTGTAGCTTTGCACTCAGCGTTACTAACAGTGAGTTGTACCTTCTTAGAGAGTCTGCAGCTGGAGAAGCTTATGAGAGCTGCTTACGAGCTGTGCAGATATTGCCTGTAATTTTCTATCTCCTGCCCCTTGTGTTATTCCATCATGGTTTAACTAGGAAGGAATGTTAAATGTATTTATTACAATCCATTTAAACTGATGATCTATTCTATTTTGGTATTTTGAGATCTTATGACCACCTTTAGAGGTGACTTTTAATCCTTTCTATCTTCTTTCATATTATTGAACTTTGCTTTTTTATTTTTAACTCTAAATCTGAGTTCTTAATTTCTTATTCCTGTATTTTTAATTCTTTCTATGCAGCTTGCTGAATTCCAAATGGGTCTTGCAAAACTTGCTCTTGGTTCAGGGAATCTGTCATCTTCGCAGGTCTAGTCATGCCTATGTGATATTTGACCAATCGGAGTTATAGAAGTAGCACATGTTTTATTTTGTCTCCCTCTGTAAGAAGGGCCAGCAAGAGACATCCTTGTGTCAGTTTAATTTTCTAATGGTACTGCTACTTACCATTGCCGCAGGTCTTTGGAGCCATCAGACAGGCCATGCAGCGTGCACCTCACTATCCGGAATGCCATAATTTAACTGGGCTAGTCTATGAGGCACAATCCAATTATCAGTCTGCCGCTGCTTCCTATAGACTAGCACGCTGTGCAATCACCAATTTGTCAGGCTGTGGTAGAAAATCTCATATGACGGATATATCAATCAATTTGGCTCGATCACTTAGTAGGGTAACACATATAATATCTTTTCAGTATCTGTTTTTGATCTGTAAGGGTGTAACCCTAATTATGTGTATACACACGCATACGATACATGTTATCCTAATGCAAGTGTTGCTTCATATTTCGTTAGAACATTTTCTGAAAAATGCTTCTCTGTGATGCAGGCAGGGAATGCTCTAGATGCTTTGCAGGAATGTGAAGATTTGAAGAAAGAAGGTTTGTATTAAGTATGCTTTCATATGACCTTATAACAAGGATGGAGATAATGTATTAGTGGCTGTATGCTTTCTTATTCACATCAGACCAACATTTACTTATAATAGAGGATGTTTAGAGTTTTTACAAGTTGCCTTCAAGGATCTGTATTGTTGCTTCTGTTCATATGAATAATTTTGTGTCTGACTTAAAGAAGAGCGTGAAAAGGCTTTCTTAAGAGCATCCTTGGATGTGGTTGTGTTCGATTACATATTGAAAACTTGTAAAAAAAAAAAAAATGTCACTTTGTTGACTCTTTTTTTTCTGGTGTCCTCCATGTTTAAGGGTTGCTTGATGTGGAAGGTTTGCAAATATATGCTTTCTCCTTGTGGCAACTTGGTAAGACTGAACTGGCCCTCTCTGTGGCAAGAAATCTGGCAGTGAGTGTCTCTACAATGGAACAAACATCTGCAGCTGCCTCTGTTGTTTTTATCTGTAGATTCCTGTATCATATTTCTGGACTGGATTCGGCAATCAATAGCATTCTGAAGATGCCAAAGCAACTGTTTCAGAGTTCAAAGATCAGTTTCATAGTATCTGCTATTCATGCTCTAGATCGAAGTAATCGGCTTGAGTCTGTTGTGTCAAGCAGCCGTTACTATCTTAAATCTCATGAAGAGATAACTGGAATGCACTTTTTGATAGCACTTGGTAAACTAGTAAGTTTATTATTCCAGTAACCTCTCATGTTTGGTTGGGATTTGCTTGTTTATTTATGATTTTTGTATGATAAGTGATATTGCTATACTCTGGGTTGTTTTATGCAGATAAAACATGGATCAGAACACCGTTTGGGATATCAAAGTGGAATTGATCACCTTAGGAAAGCTCTTCACATGTATCCTAACAGTAGCTTGTTAAGGTATCTCCAACAATCAACCCCATGGTTGAAACCTGATTTCTGTATAACTGCTGACATTGCCAGCAGCAACAGCTGTAAAGGAATTAACTAACAGAATGACCACATATGGTATAGAGGTGTCTTAGTTTTAAGATTCTGGTGGTATTTTTGGTGGATTTCTTGTTCACTGATTGTACACATTAGTTTTTCTTTTATAATAAAATTGTTGTTTGTTATAAAAATTAAAAAAGGAAAAAAAGAAAAAGAAAAAAAAGAAGCATCTGAATTTTAGTGCAACTTATTGGATTGAAACAAGAGATTTTATTGGTCAAATCAAAACCTTCTGTATTTATTCTAGGCAGCTAGGTTGGCATTGTTATGGTTCACTGCCATCTAGTTTGTAGAATGATGCTTTTGGTGTCAACCTAAGCTTCTTAATGCCTTGCCACTTCTAGTTATTATTTTTAGTCTTCAAACATTCTTCTGACAAACTTTTTTGGAACAGGAACCTTCTTGCTTGTCTTTTGTTGTGCAGTGAAGAATGGAATGATACCCACATTGCAACTAGGTGTTGCGACATAGACACTACTAAGCCAAGTAAAGGCGGTTTAAAATCAGCATATGAAATTCTTGGTGCTGGAGCAGTCGCTTGCTATGCTGTTGGCAATTGCAGTCCTAAGTTCTCTTACCCAACATGCACATACCAGTGCCTGAATGAACCTGGAGCCATCCAGCAACTACAGAAGTATTGTAACTTATTCCTGCCTCTGAATTTGAATTCATTATATAACTTCTAAGTAAAAACTCTATGCCGCTTTTAGATTTTAAAGATCAATTTCTCCTCTAAGGAAAAAGAGAAAAAGAATAATCATTCCCTCCCTTTGCCTTTCATAGCCGTTGTCCTGTATGTTTTTTATATTGGCTACATAAAAACATGATGAATTAGACTATTGGTGTTTCTTTCCCGAAAGAAATTTGCCTGTTTTTGGAACAAAAAATATGAAGGTGCTTTTTATTTTAATATGGGCTTATTGCTTATGCTTGTCTTTTCCATATTAAAGTTAACATGTTTTGCTTCCTAGTGAAAAGAATCACAGTTCTTGTCTTATATCCACAGATGTTTGCGCCGAGAACCATGGAACCAGAACATAAGATATCTGCTTGTTCTCAATTTACTGCAGAAGGCACGTGAAGAGAGATTTCCTTGCCATCTTTGTATTATACTTGAGCGGCTAATAAGTGTAGCTCTTTCTGATGAAGTTTATCATAATACGGGCATGTCTTATGAATATAAGAAATTCCAGCTTCTACTTTGTGCTTCTGAGATCTGTTTGCAACGTGGTAATCTAACTGGCTGTATCAACCATGCCAAAAACGCTTCATCGATTATGCTTCCCGATGATTATCTTTTCTTTGCACACTTGCTATTACTCCGTGCCTATGCCTTAGAATGTGACACTGTAAACCTTCAAAAAGAGTATATAAGATGCTTGGAGCTCAAGACAGATCATCATATTGGTTGGATATGTCTAAAGTTCATCGAATATCGTTATGAATTGCAAAGTGATTTGGATATTTTAGAGTCTAGCTTCAAAGAATGCTCAAAGGAGCGAATGAATTCATGGAATATGTGGAGGGCTCTATTCATTCTGGTGCAAGGCTTGATATCTATATGGAGCCAGGACATTATTTCTGCTGAACAGTTTTTTGCACAAGCTTGTTCATTGGCGGGTGATGAGAGCAGCCTCCTGCTTTGTCATGGTATTTGTCTGTTAATAGATGGGATTTTCTTTTTCCTCTTATAGGTCCTACTAATCATTAAATTTAAGACTCCATGCTTTAGTTAATTTTTTTGGGGGGTAATAGTGCTGTTGTTTAAATTTGGCATGACATGTTCCAACTAAATTAGATAGCCTAAAATTGGATAGACATCTTGTTTTCCGGTAAAAAGTATATATGATGGTTCTTACTACATATTCTACAAGTGGGTGCTAGATAGATTTGGTTTCCGGTCATTGTCTATGTATGCCTGATTTTGTACAATAGCAAGGGTGGTAGAAGTTTTGTATAACTCCTTTCGTGCAGTAATTAGATCATTGATGGGTCCAGGTGCCACCTGTATGGAGCTTTCTCGCCAGGGGTGTTCTTCGCAGTTTTTATCACTTGCTGTACGGAGTCTCACCAAAGCTCAAGAAGGTCCTCTCATTCCCTTACCGATTGTCTCAGCATTGCTAGCTCAAGCAGCTGGAAGTCTTGGTTCAAAAGAGAAGTGGGAGAAAAACCTCCGTCTTGAATGGCCTACTTGGCCTCAAGGTAGATATCTGTGCGACACATTGGTGTTCATGTCCTGATGATTTACTGTTTTTTTATTTAATTTTTTTTATAATCCAGCTAGAAATAAGCTACTGATGCAGCATCATTCACGTGCAAATCCGTTTTCATGCTGAATGGTAGAATTATGTGAAACCACTGAGAATTCCTTATTGGAGAAAACTGACCTCTT